CACCAACCCACCAACCAACCAACCAACCAACCAACCAAACAAACAAACAAACAAGAGTCATAATAGTAACAACAATGCAGCAAGTTTGCATGCATGCGCTGGACCCGCAACTACACCGAGGAAAACTCACAAGGGTCTCATCCCAAACTGAGATAAAATCCCCAAGGCCATTGTGCCACCCGGTGAGCATGAAAAGTGCCAAGCATCAGCATCAAGTCTGGCGCAAAGATCAGCATAAAGCTCAATGAAATTGTGCTGCAGCGTCGCCTGGCCGGGAGTAGCTGGTAGGACATGCAGTTTCTGAACTGGACCACCCATTTGCTGGCGCACGCTGAAGTATATAAGTCATGGAATGCCAGTTTTGAAGAGTCGGGACTTGTGCTGCGACGTGTGTCACTAATGTAAAATCCATCTTGCAGCTGGTGAGGTCAGTCCTGCGGCTGGTGAAGTTGCCCTTGCAACTGCTCAATGACTCAATGCTACACCCTGGGACTTCAAAGCGAGATGTTCCTGATACCCCTGCCACAACCGCAGATCCCACACGCCTTCTTAAAGACATCACGGGCGATGACCTGGAGTGTCCCGCAAACCAATCTTGTTCGTTCCGGCATGACGGAGATGGACATGCTACTGCAACCAGTAATTACACCACCCGCCTCAATGGTCTCATGTCGAATCTCCTGGTGTTCAACCATGCAATAGGTCAACAAATCAGCGTAGAGCTTGTCGAACTTCTCCCAAGTGAGCCTAGGTAGGCTGCCAATTTCATCTGTTACTGCTTTGAAGAATGTTTATTGCCAGGCAGCTTGTTCAAAATTGACTTCACCTCAGGTGTGACAGTTCAAAAATGCTCTTGCCTTGCGTATGTGTCGTCCTCTTAGGGTCAAATTGGTCTTGGTGCTGAATACTTGACTAGTGGATTCTCATGCCCACACCTGTAGCTTTCACGAGCATCTCAGCCGCTTCTCAACGCTCTGTCCACGGCCGGCCTGACGCTCCACCTTCTCCATGTCACAGACATCTTTGCCAACTCCAAGTGCTGACTTCCTGAGATTTGAGGTGCTGCAAACGCTTGATGGTTGCCATTGGCTTGAGGTAAAGTAATGGCTCTTCGTTGTTCAAACCCTAACTCTGCACCCACCTCAGGACAATCAGCACAGGGGCAGGTTTTAGCCCATCAGTTCTAGCCGGGATGCTTCGGGGCAGGTGCAGACACTGTTCGCGGCAAGCGCCCGTTCGCGCTGCGCCAGTTGTCATCCTCATCTGACCGTGCCTCAACCGAGTGTTTGTGATTTCTTGGTAGCTGCTGACTTGAACTACAGTGTATATATCACCTGCTATCAAGGGGAGGAGAGCCACAAGGAAATACGTGTAAACAAACAGGTCATCTTGCACACAGCATTTCTGGTACCCCCTTCGTTTGCAGCCCCGGACCTTGGGAACACCCGGGCTCAAGTTAAGCAAGAAAACTGAACAACAAGGGTCCAGCAGTCTGACTCTTTTGCAATGTCTGAAAGAGGTCAAGGCCTCTACAGTATATCCAGGAATCAGACTCTGCTCTAGAATGCATGTTTGAAGTTCCAAATGTATCTTCAACCATGGTCGTGATATTGGCAATCATTCTATGCCCAGATTGCTTGATTTCTTAGTTGCTTAAAAAGTGAAGCAGCCCTCGGTCACACGAAAGAATGACAAGCAAAAGAGTACACGATAGCTCAGCAATTGCATTGAAACCTAACAACTAGTCTCGGGCCCCCGTGGCTGTGCCAAGGAGGCGGCGGGCCAAGAAATAACAAAGAAAAAAACATCGCACATCCAAAGCACCTTCGGTGTGTCTTTGCACTCACGACCTCAGGGGTTCCAATACATGGACTGGGAAGCCTGCTCTCAAACGGATTGGAGGACGCTCTCAATCCCCGGCGACGCTTCCTTTGACTTGCTTTTTGGGTGTGATTGTTGCATGCCTTGACGATGATATGCTGACATGCAGACGACAAGCAATGACGGTAATGTTGTAGTAGTAGTAGTGGTGGTGGTGGTGGTGGTGGTGGTGGTAGTAGTGGTAGTAGTAGTCGTCGTCGTCGTCGTAGTAGTCGTAGTAGTCGTAGTAGTCGTAGTAGTCGTAGTAGTCGTAGTAGTGGTAGTAGTAGTCGTAGTCGTAGTCGTAGTCGTAGTCGTAGTCGTAGTCGTAGTCGTAGTAGTACTAGTAGTAGTAGTAGTAGTAGGAGTAGTAGTAGTAGTGAGCAAGAAAATGGAGGGAGTTGGAACGACCTTCACAACATGGAAACTTAAACACTTGGGCGAAGCGCATGCCAGAGGCACCAGCACCTCCGGACCATTGCTGAGCCCTTGACTCCTGGATTTCTGCAGCTCGGCAGATGGCAAAGACTGGGAGCGCTTGATCTGTGCATTCAATGGCTCTCCTCAGCACCGAGTGAAGAGGTCAAAAAATGCTTCACAGCACCCCGCAAACACTTTCAGTCCGCCCCCAGCTTTGGGTATGCCTTTTGTGGGAGGTAAGCTGTGGGTAATGGACTTGGCCTTCTGCCAAGGGTCCGTCTGGCTGAGGGACAGCCTGACAAAAGCATCACGGTGTGCAAACGTAAAAGTTCCAATGGATTAGATTCAATCTCATGCGACCTTTCGGTTAGCACAAATTTCTTGGTGTGTAGCAAAGCGCAGCTGCTCTTGGAATCTGCCATGCCACTCTACTGCCGCACTGGAACATGCGACTGACTACGGTCGACGCCTGTTCCTCTAGTCGGCTTCCAGAGCGGGGTAGCTTCAAGTCCTCCAGATCCGTTTTTTGAACATGCTTGTGCCTTTGGGGATCGTAGGTCCTGGTGTCCTTATAGTCCACTGACCCACTACACCAAAGGACAAAGGACAAGGACACGAGTATATAGTTGAAGCCCCATTGCCAAAAGTTCTGTGTCTTTGGCGGACTTCCAAAGATTGCCTTCTAACCTGGTCCAAGCTCTACATCAGCTCCTCCCGGCAGATGGGCTTCTCCTTCTGCTCCTTGCGGTGCCAAACATGCAAAGAGATTGCCAGAAGAACAATGAAAAATAAACATACCGTTTCTGCCTATTGCCCTTGCCCTGGATTTCACCTCGGTTCTATCATTTATGTACACTATGAAAATATGACACCCGTTGTCGAACCACCCTCAGCACAGCCAGCTCCTTCCGGCTTTCGATCCACTTGCCAAGAAGCGCAAACCTCGCGAGAGCACCCGAACAAAAAAGTCTACATGCTACATATAAAAGTCATATTGTAATATACAGTATGTCCTGTAGGCTTTATATTGAGGCGCGCATGCACACCCTGGCAAGCATGTGGCATCCCCGTCCATGCGACAACCGCTTGCGCCCAAGGAACACAGACCCCGCGGCTGTTGCCCCGAGACACTTTACAAACCTAAGCTGCAATCCAATGCGGGGGAATGCAATGAATCCAATGGTGCTAAGATGTGGGGCTCAAGGATCTTGAAGGGCTACAGGAAAGCAGCCCACATTCGTCAGCTGTCGTGTAGTTGGTTCCTTTGGAGTTTCATGGGGGGCATACACACCAAATCAGTTTGTGGAGCCCAGATGCGAGGAATGTGCTGAAAATCCGTGCGGTAAATTGGAGTCTGCCCAATCCTCCTCGCCTTGTCCTGTGCGGCTGGAGGGAGCTGGTGCACAAAACACAGGCAGTGTGGACCAGCATGGGAAGATGCTCAGTGATGATTTGATGTGGGTGCTTCGCGTGTTTCGATGATACGCAAAGGGACAAAGACCTTACACGTGTCATGCACAGAGCAAGATGACTGCCTACTCCACACCCTAGGAATTGCCTGCACAGGAGTCAGAAGCGTCACTTGTGCAGTCTGCTTGTCATACAGCCTCAGTATTTCAGGAAGTTTGGCTGTAGCTTCGCTGACGGACCTGGCCCCACTCCGTCAATGGGACTTGACACACTCAACCACTTATACATTCGAACAAACTTCTCTCCCTCTCTCTCTCACTCTCTGTCCCTGCTTTGTTCCGTGTAAAGGCCGGACCAGACTGCCTCAATGACTTTCCCTCGCGCTTACATTCCAATCCCCTACTCCTCGTCCGTGCAGTGCAGCCATGATGCTGCCAGCAAAACTGTCGCCAGCACGCGTGTCTTCGACATGTTACCTGCAAGGTTGTGACACAACCACCCCAAATCAAGCATGAGACTACCAATCTCTGACTGCTCCAGGTCTGCGGCCCGGTCACGTCCCCGGGGGCTCCCGGCTCCGCGGCTCGGAGCCAAGTCGAGTCTTGAGCCGACAGGAGTCACGGTCCATCGGACCCATCGGACCCATAGCGCGACTTGCGAATCTGTCCAAGCCACGGCTCATGTTAAGCAGTGGAAACCCATCGGACCCATAAGATCCGGATTTAGGTCTTCTTCGGACAGGCGCAGCGGTTGTTGAAGGAAGCAGGCACTTGTGAATCTCTGATGTGCCCATCTACTAGAAATCTGGCCCGTTCCGACCCAAATAAAACTCTCTCGAATGACCATCCCAAGCGAATGCTGCTGCCAAGGCACAACCACAGCTGCGGGGTCCTGTCGGGGAGATCTTCCACTGTAAAGGATAAATGAACGCATTGGAAGGCCTCTGCTTCAGAACTAAAGGCCACAAACCAAAAAACAAAGCCACTGTAACTTATATATATATATATACATTGCATGTATACATCTCTACTAGACAGAGTGCTTCCCAGACTGCGCTCTGTGCACTCTTCCTTTTTCCATAGGCACGCTTTGCAATTAAGGTCTCTGCACGTCGCCCTGACGTTGTTGCGTTGGAAACGCACAAAGTGTGAGCAGTGTTCA